AGAGAGAGAGAGAGAGAGGTGGGAGAGGGAGAGAGAGGAAAGAGAGATCTTTATTGAGAGACCCCTATCATTATGGTACTTTATTATAACTGGTTTTTGGTTTGGTTTAGTTTGGTTTGGTTTGGTTGTTTGGTTTGGAGACAGTGAATTGTATGGTCCAGGTTGACTTTGAACTCCTGATCTTCCTTCTTCCCCCTCCTGAGTGCTGAGCTTGTAGGCTTGGGCCACGGTGCCCAGTTCACATTTGTGATCATGAATGATCCAATGCTGATACATGCTTACTAACTAGTTCATTCAAATTTTCTTTGATGGAGCCTGATGTCCATTTTCTGGCCCAGGATCTCTTCTAAGATACCAGTTAATTTAGTCATCACATCTCCTTAGTGGCCTCCTGACTGTAACAGTTTCTCAAACTCATTGTCTTTGATGACCTTCACCAGTTGAGATGTATCAGAGGCTGTGTCTATCAGAATCTGTCTGACAGTTTTCTCATTATTAAGACTGGACCTAAAGATTTAGAAGAGCCTTTTTTTTTTCATCACAGAAATTGTCTTAGTTAGCATTTTATTGCTGTGAACAGACACCATGACCAAGGCAACTCTTACAAGGACAACATTTAATTGGGGCTGGCTTACAGCATCAAAGGTTCAGTTCATTATCATTAAGGTGGGAGCATGACAGCATCCAGGTAGGCATGGTGCAGGAGGAGCTGAGAGTTCTACATCTTTATCTGAAGGCTGCTAGCAGTAACTTCCAGGCAGCTAAAATGAAGGTCATAAAGCCCACACCTACAGTGACACATCTACTCCAACAAGGCCACACATACTCCAACAGGGTCACACCTAATAGTGCCCCTCCCTGGGCCAAGTATATACAAACCATCACACAAGTGCACATTATCTGGCTAGAGAGATGGCTCACTGATTAAACTTCAGAGCTGAATCTGGCTCCACATCAGGTGGCACATAAGCACCTGTAATTCCAGGAGGTCTGCCGCCCTCTTCTGGTCTCTGTGGGCAGTGCACTTGCATGCATAAACCCACGTCCACACAAACAGGCACAAATAATTTCTTAATGTTTAAAACATCCTTATAACATTTTTAAAAAGAGTGCATATTATGGACATGATTTTTTTTCTGTAGATGACCTTGATCAGCTGGCAGAGAGGATGTCTGTCAGGTTTGTCCACTACAATGTCACCATGGTACCCTTTCCACAATTAAAAAGGAAGCCCTACCCAGTCTACACTAAGAGAGTACAGAGGTGTTTCCCTCTATGTTTGTTTATCTCTCTATTTATTGCTTTTTAAAGACCTGCTTTCCCTATGTAGCTTTGACTTTCCTGGAACTCGATCTTTAGACTATTCTGGGCTCAAACTCAGAGACTCATCTGCTTCTGACTCCTGAGCCCTGGAGTTAAAGGTACGCACTACCACCCACCTTGGCATTCTTGAGGTGAGGATTCACTTAAACTGTTGGCAGCTTTGTCTGCTCCCAGCTTGCTACTCAAAATAAATAGACATTTACTTCGTAGATTGGGTTATATTCCAATTACATTTTGGTTTTTGCTTCTATTCTCCCAGCTTTGACTGTTGGGCAGTCTCTTAGCTAGTTCCCACGGGCCTTTGACACATCTTTATCAGTGTGGGGGTTTGAGGTTTGGAGAGGAGATCTTGGAACATTGTTACTTTCTGGCATTAGAAAATGCTTATGGCTGGGCAGTGGTGGCCCACGCCTTTAATCCCAGCACTTGGGAGGCAGAGGCAGGCGGATTTCTGAGTTCGAGGCCAGCCTGGTCTACAGAGTGAGTTCCAGGACATCCAGGACTATACAGAGAAACCCTGTCTCGAAAAACCAAAAAATAAAATAAAATAAAATAGAAGAGAAGAGAAGAGAAGAGAAGAGAAGAGAAGAGAAGAGAAGAGAAGAGAAGAAAAGAAAAGAAAATGCTTATGGCTTGTTTTGTGTGTTTTCTTTCCTTGATTCTAGAATGTGTCATGTTTTTCAAGGACCCTGGACTCCTTTATTGGAGAACGGCACTGGTGTGGGTGTCCTCTTAGCTAACAGACCTACCTTTACTCCTGGGCCTAGGAACCAAACCCAGGGCCTCACACACACTTAGCACACCCTTTACTGGTGAGCTATACGCCAACCCCGTATGCTGTTCATCATTAGTTATACCAGGCCAAGGTAAGGTTTAACCTGCTCAGTACATGATTTTGTCTCTTGGGGATCAGTACTTGGAATGAGGCTCCAAAGATCCATGGACTCCAGGCTGTAGAAGGGAAGTTGGACTCGGTCTCCCACCGTGCTGAGGAAGCTTCAGAGTGATCTTCAAGCCAAGGTAAACGTTTGGGTGTGTCTGAGATGGCCAGTCAGGAAAGGCAAAAGGGGGCAGGCTGAAGATAAGTGATCCCAGGAGGAAAACTAGCAGGGCCCATGGGCATAGTGATAGCAACTCTACGGTGTAATACCAAGACCAAGGAGCACGGCTGGGATGGCCATTGATGGCTATTGAATGCGCATGTATCTATTTGAGAAAGTGCTTACACTTTAGACACTTTAAGCCCTTCCTTCCTTCCTTTTCTTTTCTTTTTCCAGTGATGGAGATTAAACCCATGACCTTGTGTATACTAGACAAATACTCTACCACTGAGCTATAGCCTCAGCCCCCACCCCACCTTATTTTCTTTTAACTTTTTAAATTTTAAAGACAAGGTCTTTTTGCTTTGTTTTTTGTTTGTTTTGAGACAGGGCCTCTCTATGTAGTCCTGTCTGTCCTATAACTCTCCACGTAGACCAGGCTGGCCTCAAACTCACAGAGATCCATTTGCCTCTGCCTCCCAAGGTTTTTTTTTTTTTTTTTCATTTATGCATTTTATGTAGATGAATGCTTCATTGTATGCCTGCACAACAGAAGAGGGAATCGGATCCCATCATAAATGGTGGTGAGGTGCTGTGTGGATGCTGGGAATTGGACTCGGGAGCTCTAGAAGAGCAGTCGGTGTTCCTAACCACTGAGCCATCCCTCCAGCCCCTTAAGATAGGCTCTTATTCAGCACCCAAGCAGGCTCCTTGAACTTGTAATCCTCCTGCCTCAGCCTCTAAAGAAAATGAAATTACAGAATTACAGGCCTGGCTCTTGACTTAGTTCTGCTCTGGCGTTTCTCTCCCCCTCTCCCCCCACACCCTCCTTTGTGTGTGTGTGTGTGTGTGTGTGTGTGTGTGTGTGTGTGTGTGTGTAGTTTTATCAAATAGGATCTCTTATATCTTGGGTTGACATCCAACTCTCTATAGGTATCCAAGGATGACCTGAACTCCCCAATCCTCCTGCTTGCCCCTCCAGGTGCTGAGCTTATGAAGGGCATGCACCCCAGGGCCTCCAGCCTTCATGCACCCCAGAGCCTCCAGCCTTCATGCACCCCAGGGCCTCCAGCCTTCACGCACCCCAGATCCTCCAGCCTTCATGCACCCCAGAGCCTCCAGCCTTCATACACCCCAGAGCCTCCAGCCTTCATACACCCCAGGGCCTCCAGCCTTTAGCTTTATTTTTCTTAACATTTTCCAGGAATTTCCTTGGGAAACTGGAGTCTTGGGGCTCCCTCTCTGCCTGGGAACCAACAACCTGCAAGACTCAGTCACATGACAGCTTTCACCAGCAAGCCCTGATTCTATTTCCTCTTTTGGAGGCCTCCTGTGGGAATAGAAGCATAAATCAATAACAACTATTTCAGATAAGCCTGTTAGAGCTTACTGTTCCGGAAGCAGCCTTGGGTGGTGGTGATGGCGTGGGCACAGCAATCAATGCACTGAAGGAAGCCGAGGTTCAAAGAGCCCCCAGTTTCCTCTTACCACACAGTGAGGCATATCGCTGTAAACAGCTGCAGAACTGCAAGTGAGAAGGTCCCAGCCTCCTGGGACTTGCAGTGTGAAAAGGCCTCCGGAAAGAGTTTAGAGGCCATCGTGAGAAACAGCCAACAGTGTTCAAGAATGCCCTGCTCACAGAACCTATGTCTGCCACACTCTGACCTCATCTCTATCACCTTGTGACAACAAGATGTTGTGAGTATTTCCCCCATTTTACTGGTAAAGCAAGCAAGGCTGTGATCTTCTGAGGTTACCTTCTCAAGGTCACAGAGCTGATAAATGCTAGTTCCAGGGTTCCAAATGTGAAGTTTTCAGGGCTGGCCCTTGACTCTCTAACAACTGCCTAGTCATTGTCAGGGAAATCGTGTCTCCTCTGCTGGTCTGGCATGGGGAAGAATCCCTCATCTAGCCCCTCCCAGGACCCACCTCCCTGGGAGGAACAGACTGGGGTGAGAGCTTTGCTTGACATTACTGAAAGGGTGGCAGGTATCATTTTAGATTGTCCACAGTTACACAAGAGAATCAAGCACCCCTGGGCCCTACTGAGATAGTCACTATCATTGCATGTGTGAGGCAAAGTCCCCACAAACACACCACGGAGCTGGGACGTGGAGGCCTAGCCTGGACACCAGTGTCAATGTCATTAGCTTTGGCAGATGGCACAGAATTTTTTTTTTAAATGTTGGTTTTTGTCAAGGTTAGTGGAGCAAACTCTTGATCCTAGCACTCAGGAAGCAGAAGCAGGCAGGTCTCTGAGAGTCAGAAGTCAGTCTGGTCTCCACAGTTCGAAGCAAGCCAAGGCGACCCAATGAGTCCTTAACACACACACACACACACACACACACACACACACACACTTTAAAAAGTTGAAAGAAGAAAAGAGGAATAAAATTAAAGAATAAAAAGTAAAAATACTGGGCCTGGGGAGGTGGCTCAGTGCATAGAGTTATTGCCAAAATTCTTTCAGTGGAGGAGCTGTAAGTAGTACTTTCCTCCACCTCCTAAGGGCAAGTTAAAGGACTGCTCTACCATAGTTCACCTTAGGAAACCAATGAGTTTACTGTGCATACTTATAGACTAAGCATGGATGATGGTTTCCTTGTAGTCACATGGTCGGTGACTTCTTCCCCATCTGTATTCTCTAGCTACCACCACCACCACACACACACACACACACACACACACGCACACATGCACACCGCAGAATTAGGGCAAAATTGCATACAGCTACCGGAAGGAACAACCAGATGTCAGCAGTCAAGCAGCCCAGTTGTGATGATGGTTTGCAGACAGACAGACGGTGTTAAAAAGACTTTGGCTTGGAGGACAGAGCTGGACAATAACACAGCCAAGACTATGCAGTGAGACCCTGTCTCGAGAAAACAAACTCAAACAGGCTGAGAAGATGGTGCCGTGGTTAAGAGTACTACCTACATGCCACAACAGTCTGTAACTCCAGTTTCAGGGGATCTGACACTCGCTTATGGCCTCAAAGGCTACTCCACATACATGGTGCGCATACGTACATGCAAGCAAATGCTCATATACATAAAAATTAAGTACATCTTTCCCAATTTTTTAAATAAACCAAAAAACAGGGTAGAGATTGATACATCCCTGTCTGATACACACAGACACACACACAGACACACACAG